GTGAAGGACTGTTTTGTATGCGACACCTTAAATTACTCTTCTTCATCCCTGGTCTGGTTTAATGTCCTTTTCTTTAGATTTTTTCCAAGAGGCAAGTGATCTCTTCCTCCTTCTCATTGACGCCATGACTGAAATTATGAAAAATGAAGGAATTTGTCACGAGCTAATTAAAATCAGATCTGGCGTGGCTGTGGGAGGGTCTGGATATTTCCTGGGGGGCTGGTCTGATGTGTGGGCTGCTGGGCCAGCGCTCTCTGTGTTTTTTTATTTTTTAGAACATTTTGTTAACAACATATAAACACAGAACACCACTGCAGCTGGAGCTGCCAGCTCTCGTCTTTTTCTTTTGCAAATGCTTTTTTTTTTTGCTGATGGCTGTTTACTGTTCACAGAGGGCTGAGTGATACTAGCAATCACAGCATTGTAAGAGGGGGACAGTTGAACCCGGAGGCCTCCACCCCTGTTTAATGATGGACAGTTTCTTTTCACAAAGATGGCCTCCTTTACTCCTCTCTCAAACCATCGTTCCTCTCTGTCCAGGATGTGAACATCTTCATCCCTGAAAGAGTGACCTCTGGCCTGGAGATGAGTGTAGACCGCAGAGTCCTAGCCTGATGATGTTGATCTTCTGTGCTGGTCCATCCTTTTGGCCAGTGGCTGTTTAGTTTCCTCGTTTAGTTGCCCCACAAGAACAACCAGGAACTGAACAAAAGAAACCGCGCAGAGACTGAGTCATTTTCCTCACAGTCTAATGCTAACGCTATAATCACCGGAAGTTGTTGAACACCACATCCGGTTTAAAACCCGGACGCGTGAAAAAGGTCTATAGGCAGCTTCTGTAGCCGAGGATCAGATTGCCAGGGTCCCCGCCCTCGGCCACCACCCATCCCACATTGCACCCGACCCCTTTGGCCCCTCCCACAGGTGGTGAACCCATGGGAAGTTTAATGTTGAAGGTAAAACTGGTTTAATGTTGTAGAACTAACTGTTTTAATGTTGTAGAACTAACTGGTTTATGTTGTAGAACAAACTGGTT